GCTATTCCTCAGGGACAGGGCTGATTCTGACCTGACACCTCCAACTTCCTCCCACCAGGAGCAGCTCTTGGCAGAGATGGAGCGGATGCAGATGGAGATCGACCAGCTGCGGGGGAGGCCACCATCCTCCTACTCCAGGTGACACTGGTCCTTCTGCCTTACCCTTGCTCATAGGAGCCCCCTTGGCCAAGCTCATCCTTTCTGATCTCCAAGTCTTCCCCACTCCCCTGTCCTCCCAAGGCTTTCACTGACTCCTGTTACTCTTGATACCTGACTTCATGGCCTCTGACCTCTGACTTCAGATCCCTCTCCCAGTCCTCTGACCCCAGGCCTTTTCCCATGACGCCTGACCTCTCTGCCCTTTTCCTGACCCCTTGGTCTCTGACTGCCTTCTCCATGCCCACAGGTCTCTCCCCGGCAGTGCCCTGGAGCTCCGTTACTCCCAGGCACCCACATTACCTTCTGGTGCCCACCTGGACCCCTATGGGGCTGGCAGTGGCCGGGCAGGCAAGAGGGGCCGCTGGTCAGGGGTCAAGGACGAGCCCTCCAAGGTCAGCAGCCACTTTTGGGGCCCGGACTGAGCAGGGGGTGGGTGGGCAACAGTAGGAAATGGGGTCTAATACGCGGGGCTCTGGAAGGGGACTGGGCTGAGAAACAGCATCTCCTGGACCCATGTTGTCTTTTTTTTTTCCTCCTGCAACTCCATCCTCTCTGCTTGCCTGACGTCTCTTCATGTGGATACCCTGCTACGTGGTGAGAACCTTAGCGGAATGATGAGGTGGGGAGAGGGGCGGTGAGTGGGGGATGGGCACGGTGTAGAATCCTAGAATGGGGTTGCAAGGTGAAGAAAGGAAGTGGCCTGGGTCAAGGGAAATGGTAGAATCAGGGGACGGGGTAGAGTCCTGGATAGGGCAGTCAGTCAAGGAAAGGGACTTGTCAAGAGACAAAGCTAGGCTGGGAAAAGTTTGTGGGCTGGATCATAAGGTGAGGCCAGTCTTTGTCAGGGGACACAGGCAGGGTCGTGGAGGGTGGACAAGGTCAGTAGAGGTGAGGGAAGCCCCAGCACCTGACATCCTTCTGTCCCCACACAGAGACAGGAGTGGGAGCGGTCTGCCCCTGCGGGGTCCATGCCACCCCCATTCCCTGGGGAGCTGGATGGCTCAGATGAGGAGGAGGCTGAGGGGATGTTTGGGGCTGAGCTGCTCTCCCCCAGTGGACAGGCCGATGTGCAGACGCTTGCCATCATGCTTCAGGAGCAGCTGGAAGCCATCAACAAGGAGATCAAGTGAGCACTGACTGGCCCAGTCCTTCTCCACCCTGCCTGAGCTGACCCTGTAGCCCCTCTGAAGGCCTGAGCGCATCTCCTCTCTTACTATCCTCAAGGAACTCCCCCAGCCCAACACTCCCTCCAGTAACTAGGAATCCTCAAGATATACCCAGAAGTCTCCTATCTATCTATTCCCTATCCAGTATTCACAATTTCCCAATACACCAATGACTGCATTCCCAAATACCCAAGTTCTCAAGCCAGTACACCAAGAATCCTCCAGCACACCCTGGATGTCATGGCTTCACACAGCTAGTACCCAGAGTCTCCCAGTACCTCAAGAATCTCAACACAACACAAGGTCCCCAATCCCAAACACCAAGAATCTCATCCTAATACTTCAAGAACCTCAATTCAAGATACCAAGAATTTTGACTTAATATAACAAGAATCCTCGATTTATCACGAATCCCCCACTGACATAAGGTCTACCCTGCTTTCCCAGAAATTGCCCTCCTTGGCAATTCTCTAACAACACACTCTCCATGGGAAATATACCAATATGACCACGACTTTCCATCCAAAGTCACTGCAAGTCGAGGTATTGATTCACATACCAGATGACTCCATGAACTTCCCAGATCCTAGGTTGACCTCAGAGTCCCTGATCTCCCCCAATCTTATTATGATCTTGCTCTTTCTTTCCTCCTTGGAATTGGACCTCTTTCCCATAGTGAGCTTTTTTATGACTTTATAGAACCATGTGGTTACCATCATGGAAGCCTTGATGCAGACCCTGATCTTCCTGTTGTCCCTCATCTCCCAATGACCTCCTGAGCCTATCATGACCCCTTGACTCCCCTTTAACCTGTGAGGCCATGATGAATCCATCAAGACCCTCTAACCTGATTATGCTTTCCTCAGAATTCTTCCCCACCCTCCCTGCCTGCCCCCAGCCTTCCTGCCCTTTGGGATCCCCAGACTCTGTCTCCCATTGCTTGCCTCTCTGTTCTCTCACCCGGTCTGCCCCCTTTCCCTCCTCAGGCTTATCCAAGAGGAGAAGGAGACAACAGAACAAAGGGCAGAGGAGCTGGAGAGCCGGGTGTCTGGTTCTGGCCTGGACTCCCTGGGCCGCTACCGCAGTAGCTGCTCACTGCCCCCCTCCCTCACTACCTCTACCCTTGCCAGCCCCTCCCCTCCCAGCTCTGGCCACTCAACGCCCCGTCTGGCACCCCCTAGCCCTGCCCGTGAGGGCACCGACAAAGCTGTGAGTGTTCTGAAGTCTCCTCATTTTGGTGGGGTGGCCTGGGGAGGGGGGAGATCGGAGACAGGGCTCCCCAAGCAACAGCAACAAAAACCCCTCACGCCAGTGATTTTCAAAAGCAACCTTAGCTTTTCCTACAAGTTCCAACTTAAAGGGTGTAAGGGGGGGGGCTGAGCCACAGGGTTTCTGAACCCTAACTTGTACTTTAGTCAGATCTGGCCTTTTTTTTTTTAAAGAATTTATTTATTTATTTGACAGAGATAGACACAGTGAGAGAGGGAATACAAGCAGGGGGAGCGGGAGAGGGAGAAGCAGACCTCCCACTGAGCAGGGATCCCGATGCAGGGCTCGATCCCAGGACCCTGGGATCATGACCTGAGCCAAAGGCAGACGCTTAACAACTGAGCCACCCAGGCGCCCCCGATCTGGCCTGCTTTTACCTGTTGTGTGCATTAGGTTTCTTCATAGGTTTTGTTTTTTTGTTTTTTGTTTTTTGTTTTTTTAAGGTTTCCGTGACTAAACATATACTTGAGAGCTAATATTAGATCCTCGGAATTGATCTTTGAGGAGGAATAAGACATATTAGCCCTATGTTATTGTCTTAAACCCAGTTTTCTGGCTTCCAGAATGTGTAACTCATTAGCTTTCCTATAGTCTGAGCAGATCCCACTCCTGACACCAAAAGCTAGGATACATAAAAACTGGCTGCTCAAGCTCCAGGCGGACTCATTGCCTTTATGTTTCTGCAACTCACCCCTACCTGGTCTAGGCTACCTTCAGAAGTGGTACCCAAAACCAGGGACATCCCAGACACCCCCTGGTAGATATCCCAACTAATGAAGAGCCCCCAGCATGACCCTTCCAATGCATTTCAGCCTCTCTGCCTTTCTGTGCCCAGAATCATGTCCCCAAGGAGGAGGCTGGCGCTCCACGAGCAGAGGGGCCAGCCATCCCAGGAGACACCCCACCTCCCACTCCCCGCTCTGCCCGCCTTGAGAGAATGACACAGGCCTTGGCACTGCAGGCGGGATCCCTGGAAGATGGGGGACCCTCACGAGGAAGGTCAGCAGGGACAATGGATGGGATGGGGAGGGGTTTGCTCGGGAGGATGTGTCAGGGGAATGGACAAGGACTCGGGAGGAAAAGAGACATCCCAGATGGGGTCTGCCCTCACTCCATCCTATTCACCCAGTGAAGGCACCCCAGATTCCCTGCACAAAGCCCCCAAGAAGAAGAGCATCAAGTCATCCATAGGCCGTCTCTTTGGCAAGAAGGAGAAAGGGCGAATGGGACCTCCAGGCCGGGACAGCTCTTCTCTGGGTGAGGACCCTGATGCCAACCCTATCTCCCTTCCTCTCTCCCTTCTTTCCTTCCTCTCTTCCTTCCTTCTTCGTTTTCACAAATTCACTTGACATTCATCTGAGTCTTCATTCATTTGATAATTCGTAGGATGTGAAAGGGGCAAGCAGGACTTGGTGGAGGTAGAGGGAAGGAAGAGGGACAAGGACAGGGCACTCTGAGGCCTGCCTGGGGGACTGGAGGTGGGGAGCTAAATGAATTTTATGATTGCATTTACCTATTTTTTAAATAGGGAAAGAGAGAGGACCACCTAAAGGCAGGGCAGATGGTGGGCTGGAGCCTGCTTATACTGGCTTGTGAAAGCCAAGAGTTCAATTTTCTGGAGTTTTATGGGCTGCCTGACCTTACATCGGTAGCCTGAAATTCTTTACACCATGGAGATTGGCGAGCACCACAAAGCAGGGAATATGCCTTCCCTCCCTCCCTACCTCCATTCCTCCCTCCCGGGAAGCCGGTGGTTAAACAGTTACCAGTATCCCACTGCCACCTTACTGAGGCCAGCCCAGTGAATCCAGCCCCATTTTGGGGATGTCTCCAATTCCCTGCCTGGGAGGTGAAATTGGTTCCTGTTTGGCTTTATCACTCCCTTGGGGCCTCTAAGTCGCTGGCCTCCTTCTCAGCACCCTGGACACCAGAGAGTCTCCTTCCTGCTTGATTCTCTCCAAACTCTGGCCCCTCCCTGCCTTCAGCAGGAACACCCTCGGACGAGACACTGGCCACGGACCCTCTGGGGTTAGCCAAGCTGACGGGCCCAGGAGACAAGGACCGAAGGAACAAGAGGAAGTGAGTGTGTGTGTGTATAGGCTGGGCAGGGGGGGAATGGGGGAGATCACTTACAGAGATTCACTTTTTTTTTAAACCTTTTTTTTTTAAGATTTTATTTATTTATTTGACAGAGAGAGAGACAGCGAGAGAGGGAACACAAGCAGGGGGAGTGGGAGAGGGAGAAGCAGGCCTCCTGCCGAGCAGAGAGCCCGATGCGGGGCTCGATCCCAGGACCCTGGGATCATGACCTGAGCCGAAGGCAGACGCTTAATGACTGAGCCCGCCCAGGCGCCCCTTTTTTTAAACCTTCTTCCAAGTTTTCTACCTTAATAAAAAGTGCTTTGGGGGCTCAGTTTGGCAGCCCATATACTAACATTGGAACGATCCAGAGAAGATTAGCATGGCCTCTGCGCCAGGATGCCAGGCAAATTCATGAAGCATTCCACTGAAAGATAGAACTGTGCTTTGGAGGGGGTTTGTGGGAAAGGACGGCTGGGGGTCTCTGCCCCTGAGAGCTCCTGCCCTACTAGGCCTCTGTCCCCAGGCACGAACTTCTGGAAGAGGCCTGCCGCCAGGGCCTGCCCTTTGCTGCTTGGGATGGGCCCACCGTGGTCTCCTGGCTGGAGGTACTGGGGTCCAGAAATGCCATGACTCTTAATCCCCAACTCCTGTGACGGCCCTGCCACTAGGGGTCACTGGGTGCCCCCCAGCATCCTCCTCCTAGCCTGGGATGGGGGGTGGGGTGGGGGTGGGCGGAGGGGGATGAGGCCCTGGGGGAGGTCAGCCTTCCTGTTGATCTAAACAGCTTCCTCCTCCTCGTGCCCCCACCTCTACGCCTCTGACCATGCCCCCTCGGTCCTGCTGTCCTGTTGTCTCTCTCTGTCTCCCACATCTCTCTCTCACTGTATGGGATTCTCTGTCTGTTGTTTTGCCTCTCTCCCCATCTCTGTGTTTTTGTCCTTCCCCACATTTCTTCCCACGTCTCTGGGTCTTCCTGTGTCTGTCTCCCAATGTCTTGCCTCTTTCTCTCTCCATCCCTCTTTCCCCGGTGACTCTGGCGTTACTCTCTGATTCCCCCCCGCCTTTATTCCCCGTGTCTCCCTCTGACTCCCTCTTGTCTTGTTTGCCTTGCCCCATCTCTATCGCTTCTCACCGCTAACATTCCCACCTCTCCATCTCCCTCTTTCCTTTCTGTCTCTCCGGTGTCTCCCTCAATATTGTCTCTGCCTCTCCGTGTGTGTCTCTTCCTTCCCTCTCCCCGCCTCCCTCCTTCCTTCTGTCCAGCTGTGGGTAGGCATGCCTGCATGGTACGTGGCCGCCTGCCGGGCCAACGTCAAGAGCGGTGCCATCATGGCCAACCTGTCGGACACGGAGATCCAGCGGGAGATTGGCATCAGCAACCCGCTGCACCGGCTCAAGCTGCGCCTCGCCATCCAGGAGATGGTCTCACTCACCTCGCCCTCAGCGCCCGCCTCCTCCCGCACGGTCAGTGTCTGCAGGCCAATCCCAACCCTTGCTGCCTCGGGGCCCCGCCTCTTGCCCGCAGACTAGCCAATCCTGGGCTCGCTCACTCCAGATCTGTCTCGCAGACCCTCTCCGCCTTGTGCCTCACCTGGATTGGATTATCTCGGGGGGCGTGGCGTGGGGGGAGTCCCTTCTCAGGTCTCCCTGCGTCCCCTCAACCTCAGTCCTGTCTTACACAGACAAGACCCCATCTGGAGAAAAATTCAAAAGCATATGGTTCCTTACAAAGTCCTTGATGAGGGCACCCCTCCCCCTCCTCCCCCTCCTCTGACTCGGCTCCTTGGCTAGTGCTACTCCTTGGCTCCCTTTCCTCAGAGCACTTCTCCGCCTGTCTCTCCTCCTCCTCGAGGTCTCATCTCAAATGTCACTGCCTCCAAGAAGCCTCCCTAACTCAACAACTAATCACTCGCCCCATCTCCCCAGCACATTAACACCTAACTTTCCCCCACAGTGTTTATGGCCTTCTAATAGTTTATCCTTTTGTTCCGTGCCGAAACTTCTGTGTGCTATGCCCAGTTCAGCAATTGTTAACTCCTTGCCCGACTTGCTGTTTGCGTGTGTGTGTTTGTGTGTGTATATGAGACCCTCCAGTGTAATTTGTGGACATCATTACTGGTTAGCCCAAAAATTTACTTCACAGGGCATCTTCTAACAATAAGAACATTCTCCTACGCAGCCACCGCGCCCTTATACCTAAGAACGTGACCGTTATTGTCAATTTCATCTCTTCGGTCTATTTTCAAATTTCCCCTCATGTATCCCAGACCCTACAACTGTGCCTGGCACTCATGAGGAGCTACATAAGTGTCTGAATCAATGTATGAAGTCCTAACTCGTGGGGTTGTGGGGGCAGGTGCTCAGTAAATGTGAACACACATCCCTTACCCCCCACCCAAACTTTTGTCCCACCCCACTGCTGTATCTGCCACCTCGTTCTGAACGTCACTCTGTACATACATCTGTGTGAGGTCAGAGAGGTGATGTTGCGCCCAAGGCCACACAGCAAAATACCCGGGTAGGGCCCCAATTCAAACCTGAACTTGCCCGACCTCAAAGTCCATGTTCTTTTGCCTGTTATACAGCAGGTGCTCAATAAATGATCATTCGGTTTTTCTTTCACTGCCTGGCCCAGAGCAGTAACTGGCCTGAGTCAGAAAGCAGAATGTATATAAATGAACCTGGTCTGGGCCTCTAGGAACACCCCTCCCCAATCCAGAAGCCTTCTCTCAACCCCCATAACACCCCTCGCCCCTCAGTCCACAGGAAACGTGTGGATGACGCACGAAGAGATGGAGTCCCTTACGGCCACGACCAAGCCTGTGAGTGACCCCTGCCGGCGGCTTTGGGAGTGGCACTAACTCTCCCTGGGGAGGGGTTGGGGGGCGACTCTCTGGCTGTTCGTCCGTCCGTTCGTCCCTCCCGCCCTCCTCCACCTGCCCCTTAACCCACCCCTTCTCTCCCCTTTTCCCACTAACGGGTCAGGAGACCAAGGAGATCAGCTGGGAGCAGGTAGGGGGCGCGGGGCGGGACATGGGCGCATGAACAGGTTGTGCACGCTGCATGCACGCCCCTCCTTCCCCAAGCCCCGTCCCCCAACCCCCGCGGGAGCGTTCCATCATCACCGCGGGGGTCGCTGCGTGGAGCCGTGCTCTGGACCCGTCTCATTGTGGCTTGGTGGGGTTCAGGGGGTTGGGGGGGAAAGCCTGGACTAGTCCATTGTTAGTGTGGGGCTCGGGCCATTCCATTATCGTGGGGTTGCGGGGGCTGTTCCACTGCTGTAACTAGAGGGAGACCTTTTCTCTATGATTGAGGGGGAGTGGGACTGTTCCAGTGTACTGGGGCCAAGGGGGAAGCATACTGGGGAGGGGCCGCAGGTCCCGCTGAGAAGTCGGGGAGGAGGAGAAGCTACACTTTGTTCTCATAGATGAACTAGGTTGGACTAGGGTCTTGGTTTCCAGTCGGGGGCCGGTGTTGATTGTTTCCTTACGCTAAAGGGAGTGAAGGACTTTGGGCTGATCCAGAATACTGTCCTGGGCCAGATGTAGCATTAGACTAGTATTTTTGGACCGTGCAAGAGTGATGGATGGATCTATTATCGTTTGTTGTGGGGAGAACTACACTGGAAGAATCCGTTGTCCTGACTTGGGGGAGAAGCGATGTTGGACTGACCCACTGTTCTGAGCTGGGACAATGCTAGACTAGTGCCTCTCACCCCTTACTGTTCCGGTAACCGAAGGATCTGGTGGGAATGCAGCTTCTGATTCCGTAGCCTGGGGTGGGGTCCTAGATCCTACGGTTCTGGCAGGTGCACAGGTATGGTGATGCCGCAGGTCCAAGGACAGCACTTTGAGTAGACAAGGGTCTATTCTGTGATTATGAAGGAGTAGGAGACCCCTGGATTGGTCCGTTGTCCTGAGCAGAGATTGACCCATGTCCTAAGGTGGGGTGGAAAAAGAACCACCTTGGGTCAGGGGGTAGGAGTGAACCCTCTCATACATACATGGGAAGGGGTCAGAGGGCCTGACCCTTCCCCCACCTGCCCATGGCCCCAGATCCTGGCATATGGTGACATGAACCACGAGTGGGTGGGGAACGACTGGCTACCCAGCCTGGGGCTGCCCCAATACCGCAGCTACTTCATGGAGTCGTTGGTGGACGCCCGCATGTTAGATCATCTTAACAAGAAGGAGCTCCGGGGCCAACTCAAGATGGTGGACAGCTTCCACAGGTGGGGGCTCCCTGGCCAGTGGGGACAGTCCAAGGGGAAGCCTCACTCCCAGAGAGTCTTTGGCCAATGGGACTGGTGATGGGAACGTCCTGGGACTATCTTTGGCCCTTTAGCCCGGATTCTCAGGAAATCCTGACTTCTGTGCCCCTTCCACCAATGAGGTGGCCCGCTAGGCAAAGTCCAAATCCTCAGACGGCTTGGCTCGTTAACCCCATACCCTGTCCAGGTTACCCAATAGGAACTGCCTGTTGAAAATACCCCAGATCCTGGGAAGGTCAGCAATACCGAAAACCGACCCAGTGGGACAACTCCCCAACCTTTCCCAGAAGGACCACAGCCAGTGGGGAGGGGCGAAGCAGCAGCCATGGGGGTTGTGAAGGCTCCTCTGTGACCCCACTTTCCCCACTGTTCAGGGTGAGTCTGCATTATGGGATCATGTGCCTGAAACGGCTCAATTATGACCGGAAGGACTTGGAGCGGAGGCGGGAAGAGAGTCAGACCCAGATCCGAGGTGAGTAGGCGTAGAAGAGTCGTGTGTCCCCCCCCTCCCCCCTCGCCAAACCGCCCAAGCCAGGTGGCGGAGTTTGGGGCTGGTGGGGAGGAGGTACGATTAAGGGGGGGAGGGGGAGCCCCGGGCCTTTTGCGAGGGGGTGGGGCCAGCACAGGGGGCGTGGCCAGGAAAGGAAATGGCCGTGACAGGTGGGCTAAATTGGACCGACCGGCAGCTGAGAGTCCCTTCTGTCCCAGACGTGATGGTGTGGTCCAATGAGCGGGTCATGGGTTGGGTGTCCGGGCTGGGACTGAAGGAATTCGCTACGAACCTCACGGAGAGCGGGGTGCACGGGGCGCTGCTGGCCCTGGACGAGACCTTCGACTACTCCGACCTGGCCTTGCTCCTGCAGATCCCCACGCAGAATGCGCAGGTGAGCTGTGGCTCGGCCCGGGGCACACTGGGCACCCCCACCTCGCAGACTGCACGCTGCCACCCTTCTTCCACCTCTCGTCCCCAGGCCCGGCAGCTCCTGGAGAAGGAATTCAGCAACCTCATCTCCCTGGGCACAGACAGGCGGCTGGACGAGGTGGGCGCAGCCCCAGCCCTGGAGGCTCAGCTCCTAGCGGCACCTGCCGTGTCTGAGCTGAAGGAGTGGGGCTTGACTTTGCCGGCGGGAGGCGGCTGGAGGCGGGACTAGGGCAGGGGCG